TACAGAAGTTAGTTATGGCTTTCCCATTTTATAGTAATTATCCCCGGTAGTTAGCTAATGTATATGTATTTTATTTCAAGTGAAACTAGACTGTTCTCATTACTTACAAGCATACAAATTAAGGATATATGAATGTTGTACTGACTTCTATCGTGTATTTGTAGCAAATGGTGTAAGTATGTATGAACTTTTGTTTACTTGAGAAATTCGATATCCACTATCATTCTTTTGGATTTCGTATAAAATACTATCATTATTATGACAGATTTCTTGATATGAATTCGTTATAGTGTGGAAAACTGAGGTTTTAGATTTTACTGCATTATATCTATTTGCTTTTGATGAGTAGGATAGCAAACTAATAATGCTGTATTTGTCTTCAACTATTAATTTTCATAAAACACCTAGTGATTTTTTTGTAATTCGAATAAGTAGGTGTACTTAGACTAACCGTAATACTAGAAATGGATGAAGGATTTTTTTTTCCATGTACACTTCCCGTTTCTTCATCTGGATAGCTAGGGCTTCAGCAGTGCAAAGGATTGTCCTAGGTAGGTTACTTTTCACCTTGTTGATCACATTGAAGGAGGAGTTTGTTGAGACAGGCTAGCCACTGTCTACAAGGTGCCCGATTGTTGCACTTCTTATAGAACTGCTGCTTGGTTGTCTGTTAAGTACAAAAGTTACTCGGACCCCAAGCAGAAAAGCGGTGTAAATTGACATTAGCGTAAGTCTCACAAAGTACTATGACTGAATTATCATGTATAAGCTGAGAGTTTATAAATTCTGTTTCACCATTACTTTGATGAAGCTATTGGCATGATATGGCCAAACATCAGCAGTAGCAATCATTTTAACTTCCATTCATTGAGATATACAAAATTTTCTGTAATAGTGGAAATCATATGTGCGATACCAGAAGTTATTGTGAAGTCTAATTTTGTCACAAATTAAGTTACAGAATATCAAGATTTTAAAATGAGAATTAAGTTTGATTTCAGAAAGTGAATGGAATTGCATAACACTAACCAGTAACTAGTGTAGTGCGCCTGGTACTTCGTTTGGTGCAGACTGAGTTCTGTTGGTCAAGTTTGCAATGTGGCCACCATTCTAGGTGGCCCACCATCACCGTGCACTGTAAGTTGTTGGAGTAAATTGGCAGGAAGCCTTGCTTGACCTAGGTTTTTTGCTAGTTGGCACTCATCAGCGAGGTAAAGACATTGGCTATTGGTCGTGCTATGTTGTGAATTAGCAGAAGTTGAAATTGATGGATCGGATCCCAGTGGCTTAATAGTTTATGAGCTCGCCTTGCAACCAGAAGGTCTTCGGTTGAAGCCCAGTGGGTGTATACCGATGAAGAGTCCAGAATTAGGCCGAAACAACCGTCCAGTACTCTCAGATTTTCCATTGGTTCTCCAACCGATGTCAGCTTGCGACAAAATCCTGTAACCAATCAATCAAATCCCTACAAACCAATACTTGAAGATATTGGTTCAACTAGTTAGTCAAGAACCTGAATCCTATTCCGGCTAGTACATTATGAACAGTCTGCTAGCATCACTAGCAGCGGTGGTGAGGGGGTTCTTCACAAGAGTTTAAGGGTGAATGTGAACGTTTGCCGCTTACAACCGGACTAGTAGACATGTTGGTCTACTTAGGGAAACTAAAGAAAAACGCTAACTTGAAACCTATGGTATACACATAGGCTCTAGAGTCTGAAGGGGTAGAATTGTGTATGACATTATTTCGGTCACTGGAAACCATGGGAACACAACTCCACTGCCTTATAGATCAGATTTCAAGTCTGATTTGTCTGTTTTTCATAACTAAGGTAGTCTATGAGAAACCCTAGTCTCATAAATCATTGTTCTGTACATCAAATTATTTAACTGTTTGCTATGCAATTTTTTCTTCTATTATTTTGGTACTATTCTTCTTAGTCAGAAAATTCACGTACTATTTTTCATCTAGTTGTATTCTTTTTCCTTCTTCTTTGAAATATATTCTCAGGCAACTTGTGTGTTGTCTTGATTCACGGAGTTGTAATTTGTCTTCTTCTTCTTCTTTAGTTCGGCTATCTCCTACGGGAGGATGAACCGGCTTCATGAACATCTCGAATGTTTGTAAGAGAGTTGATGAAGTTTCATGGGAATTGGGTACGAGTGATGTCCCCAGCATCGCTCGGCCTTTTGTTTGAGAGTGCAGCTCTAGCCTTTACACAGCCAAGTGTGACCTACAAGGCAGTAGGAGTGGAGTAGGGAGTCCACTATCCATTGGCAGCCGGTGACTGGTTCATACGCCTTTTTGAATGGGGCCAGACATCCAGGGCATCCAATAAGCTCTTTGTCCATACGTCTGCCGGTGAACTCCAGTGAGCTTCATACGCCAGTCGTTGGAGGTTTGGAATCAGGGTTTAGCCATCTCCCCTAGACTGTCATCCAATGGACAGTCAACTCGGTGAAGAGCGCCGGGCATCCGCTTTTGCCCTCTCACTTCGGTGAAAAACACCTCCGCCACGTGACGGCAGTGAGTAGGACTTCCTCAGGAGAGGCTATGTAAGACGCACGGTCATATGGGAGCATTTCAAGAGGTGTACGGAGGGGTGGCTAGCCCGCAGCGCAAGACACCCACCCCCGACCATCCTGAGGCTTTGGAGGCAATTGTAATTTGTCAAGTGTAGATTGTCAGAAATTTTAAGCAGTACTGAAGTCAGAAATATTTTGTGTTGTTTTGACGAATGGATGTGTGTGTGTGTATGTGTATATCCAGGTTGAGCGTCAGTTGTTTGTTTTGTTTTTCTTCTGAAGATGATTCATTATTTTCCACTGATGATAAGTTACCAATTTTAATCATTTTTATGCAAGTATATAAAAAGTGCATTTTCCCAACTTGTTTTTCTATATCACGTTGACAAAATCAGTTCACAAAATTTCACTATGGATGTTGAAAATTATAAGTTATCCTTACAAATATGCATTTGGATGGGAGATTTTCTTCAGTTGTTGGATTTTCGTCCCGGACCAACATCGGTTACAGAGACCGGTGAAAACACAGGGGGTAGTGGACAGTTGTTTCATCCTATTTTGAGATTCTTCATCGAATCATGGACCTTCAGGTTACGAGACTACACTCGTCGATCATTCAGATACTTGGGATGGAATTCAATGACCCATGAATGCTAACTTTGTTAACTTGTGATATAGTTCAGCCCTCACCAATTCCTCCTGTGAGAATCCACTTCACCTCGACATGGTGGAGCCCACTGGTCACTACCTCCCAATGCAGCTTTAAGAAATCCATCCAGTAGCTATGAGTGAAGAACTGCACAAATCAATGTTGTTCTCGCTTTATTCAAATTTATCAAGGGGAATAAATGCATGAAGCTATGAGTGAGCTGGTGATTATTAGTAAGATTATTGGGAAAAAGCTTGACATTGACTCGTGTATCATAGGACTTCTGAAGTTAAGTACTGAGTGTTAGTTCATAAAGCCAATTCAGTCGATAAGTCTGTGAGCATCACCAAATTGACTGTGGTGCTTGTCACAAATATCATTTTAGTGTATTGATCGGTGGTGAATAGCACTGATTGAAGTAGGACTACGTTAGTGAGCTAACAGGGGCCACAAAATGTTTGTCATTGATGGTGGACCATCTAGCATAGTGGTCACATTGCAAACTCGACTGATAGAATTCAGTCTACAGCAAACAAAGGACAACCAAAGTATCCAGTACAGTCTTACAGGAAGTTATTTACGAGCCCAAATAGCTCAGCGATAACGTCTGTGACTTCAGCGCTCACTGAGTGACACGAGTTTGAATCACAAAAAGGACATGAATTCCTACAGGATTGCAGTTACGCCTTGCCGACTGGTGAGTGCTAACAAGCACGAAACCTGGGTGTAATGCTCCCTTCCGATTGCCCCCAACCATCTAATAACAACAATTCTGATCCATAAATTCTGTAACTATTTATCTTAGTTATAGAGATATGTGTATTTTGCATGGTTGGCGTCTTAGAAATCAGGAATCAGCAAATAAAGGTTCTAAACATCCATCTGAATAAAGCAGATGTTTCCACCCTTTCGCTATCAAAACACGTCAGCATTTTATTAGCCTTCAAATTTTGCTTATATACTCATTTCTTCTCATCTTATTTCTAGGCATTATTCTGTTTACTTTTCATTTCTTTACATAAACCGGTATACTAACGTTCAAAACTTCACTCTGATCTACTTTTCTTCCAATTTAATATGTCTGTGTAATTATTTAGAATAATGCTTGTTCTACTCTATTATCTGTACTGATCTTAACATGTTATGATAAGTTGGATAGTTGAGAAAATTAATTCACTTTCGTTTCCTGTCTTTGTGTTATTCAGCTTATGTTACACAAGGATGATTGTCATTCTTCATGAAAGTAGAGTTGTTGTTCTCACTTGCATTTTGTTGCAATCACTTTCACAGTTTCATTAAGTCAAATAGACCGGTGGTCAGTTCTGTGTTTAGATGTTCTGTACTTCTTAGTTCTTACCAGTTGACGAGTCCGAAATGGGGTGAAATGCGCATCCCTGATTCCACTGCTAGTCACCATCCACCAGTTAACTTCTTAAAAACATTAGTATTCAATATTATTATATCTAGTTTAAAATTGCTGTCATTCTGCATCCATTAAAAAGCGTACATCTGAGTAATATTATTATGATTCCTTTGGTTTCATAGGGAACATTGGGCTTCAACGGAATTTTTCCATTTCAGTCTGTTCTCTGTAGTCGTCGTTATCTGGTCCCACGATTTCCTATAGACTCTTATCTTCACGTCACACGATCTCCTGCATGGCATCCTCGACAAAAGTTGATGTGTTCACAATACCATGTTAAAAAGGTGTGAATGAAAGGTGAAATCTACATGTGAGGAGAAATTACCGACTGTAGTAGAATATATATTACATAATTTTCACTGCACAGTATTGTTGTGTTTAATTTGTAACGTTACAAGCCGCAATGACAAACAGCGCTTCAGAACTAGAATTGGAGTCTGATACGAGTTCTGTCGATGGAATAAAGGATTCACTGGTTACAAATGAACAATTCTTGCGTTGTATTGAATCATTAAGACAAGAAAATCGTGTCTTAAGAACTGAAGTGGAGACATTGAAATTAAAAGTTAAAGGACTGAATGACTTAAATGAGCAATTGCGTCGCAACAGTGTTAGTATACAAGCTAAAACAGAACAAGAAGAAGAATACATTAGTAATACATTATTAAAAAAGATCACAGAGTTGAAGAAAGAGAAAGAGTTATTGGCATTAAATTATGAACAAGAAGAAGAGTGTCTAACAAATGAACTTAGCCGTAAGTTCACCCAACTCAGAGAAGAAAAAGTTGCATTAGAAAGAAGTTTAGCACGTGAGCAAGAAAACCAGGTCAGCAAATTAATGAGGAGAATTGAAAAGCTGGAAGCTGATATGAATCAGAAACAAGATTGCTTAGATCGACTTCGTAGAGAAAAAATTGAATTAGAGAATTCTCTTGAGCAGGAACAAGAAGCTTTAGTGAACAGACTGTGGAAGAAAATAGAAAAGCTAGAATCAGAAAGGAGAATTTTGCGAGAAAAACTTGAAACTGTTGAAGCCCCCTTGCCAAATTTGTCATTATGCGAAACTCTTAACTCCAGTTCAGATGGTATTAGTTTACCTGGCAATTCAGCAATTCCTCGACCAACCAGTAGTGGGCCCGGAAGTTTGCGTAGCTCCTTCAGACAGCATGCCGATCCATTGCAAGCTTCACCTTCTGGTTCAGTTGCTGTCTCATTACCAACAGTCACCTTTCCTATTTCTCCTGGTAAAGTTTCTGTTTCATCTGCTGGTGAAGAAAAAGTTCCTCAGTCAAATCAAAGTTCATGCATTTTAAATGGCGATGTTTGCCAAAAGTCAAATGTATCAGAAAGTAATAGTGCACCCTTCCCATTACCACCACAAAGTTCTATGGATATTGACGCTTCAGACCCCAATGCAAGTGGTGCAACCAGTCCCAGTGGAAGTCTTAATTCTTTACCCGCTATTTCGAATCATCCTCATTCCTCAAGCTGTCTTTCAACAACATCTGTTAATAATGTACTTACGACTCAGAATCATTCTGCTTCTAACCAGACACAAGATACGACTCATAGTACTGCAGTTCATGTCATTTCAACCTCATATGTTAATCGCTTGCATGATGAAGTATGTCGTCTTCGTCAGCTACTTCGACGTTATGAAGCAGAGTCTACCTGTAAAATGCCTGAATATGAATCAGAAGAAAAGTCAGTTACTGAGGAAAATCGTCGTTTAAGGAAGCTACTTCAAGTTGAAAAAGAAAGGCGTGAAGCATTGTCCAGACAGTTGAGTGAAAGTGAATCAAGTTTAGAAATGGAAGATGAAAGGCAATTTAACGAAGCTACTCGTATCTCCCGTTTAAGAACAATTTCTGATTGTACACCACCATTTCTGCCTCATGTTCATAACAATACACCTTCATCTCTGTATGGTCCTGGTCATGCATTTGCTGTTGCAGTTGCTGCTAGCGTTAGTAGTTCGCGAGTTTGTCGCAAATGTGGTCAACCACTCAATTCTCCTTGTTCAGGTGATCCATCAGACGGTCGATCATTGTCTACATCACTTCATAATTCATCTTATGCAGGTAGTACGCGTAACTGTTCTGGCCGTTGCTGCTCTCCAATCAGCAATTTAAGTACCTCAGAAGTTCAAGGAATTCAAGCCTCAAACTCGCCATCAACACCAACGACATCCTCCATCAACAGTGATCGTTTTGTTAAGCCAATTTATCCAGCTGCTGCCAGTCCACAACAAAATGCATTCTTTTACAACAGAATGCCATCCTCTTTGTCCCCTGATAGTAATCGAAGTTCTGCATCGGAAAAACGATTCTCAACAATTGGGATCAGTTGCAAAGATATCCAAAAGCAATTAGATTTTGAAGATGGAGATGAAGAAGACGATGCTCGATGTGTCACACCTCCAAGCTGTCGAACTTAATAATATACAGTAGAGATATTGATAACTGTTTATTGTGTACAGCATTCTTATTAAAAAAAAACGAAGGATAACTTTTGTTTTGTCTCCTCGTAAGCGACACGCTGAGCACAATGTATGTATTAGCTCTATCTTCTTCATTCCTCCTACATTATCGCTCTAATTGTAACATATCGTTCATAATTTTAAATTACTCATCTATACTGGGTATTTTAATTTTTCTTTGAATCAGGATTGTTGTTTTATAAATTTCATAATGACATTCACATAACTGAGTACTTTAATCGAAACTATGTACTAGTTTGGTTTTTTTTATAGTTTTATTTGTTGGACATAAAACAACTCTCCGAAAGTGTTTTCTTTATTATTTAATAAGTCTACCAAGTACATTCAGAAGTTATTGTTTAAGTAATTGACACAGTTTATGCATAGTGGCACAGTGGTTAGAACTCTCGTCGACCATGCACGTGGTCCGAGGTTCAATCGCCTGCCAACGCACATCTGATATCAATGGTCGGTCTGCAAAACTTGGGCTACCGATATCACTTGCTGAAAATTCCATACTTGTAACAAAAATACAGTGTGGAATCAAGCTGTAATCAGAAAAAAAGTAATTTAAAGAATTATTATGGTTCTTTTTAATTCAATCTTGTTTTTCCCGTTGTTCAGTCGGACTGAGATGTTCGACGTCTGTTCACATGTGTTAGCTGCTTGCCTAGTACGTACACTACGGTGATGTCTGAACATTAAATTGAAGTAGTTTGGTCCCCTTTTCTATTCAACTTCATCAAAGATGTACTAATGGACTTAACCCTAAATGACTTCAGAGACTCAGGGATTGACTTGCTACCAGGGAATAATCTCGTTGACTTAGAATATGCAGACGATATAGTTCTTCTAGGCGAGGACGCTGACAAAATGCAGAGTTTCTAAACACCTTGAGCTGCAATCTAAGAATGTTTGGCATGCGATCCTCTCGTGATGTCAAATTCAAGATGATGTTACAGGGCTTGACTACACCGACTCCTAGATTAGAAATAGGAAGTGAAGTGGTAGAGCACGTTGACCGCTTCACTTATTCGGGAAGTACCGTCAGCCAGTGCCAACGGGTTGATCTCTGACGATATCTTACCACGGATACAGAGGGCTAGTTTCCCATATGCCAGTTTACGCCGCCTGTGGCGTAGACGTGATATCGAACTATCGACCAAAGGGTGGGTGTACTGCTCATCAGTCCGCTCCGTCCTCCTTTATGGCTGTGAGCGAGGCCTGGCCATTGAGAGTGAAAGACATGAAAAGATTAGCTGTCTTTGATCATAGGTGCCTGCATTCTATCTCTCGTGTGAAATGGTATAATAAGGTGATCAATATTGAGGTTAGGCGTCGAGTTCTAGGTAAGGAGGGAGGGGAAATCAATCGACGAGTCTGTGAAATTACATCGACTGAGATGGTTAGGACTAGGTTACGTATGCCTAGTCATCGCCTTCCTCGACTGACGGGCAATGTTAGCTGGTTGACATAGGGTCAGGCTGGAAATAAGCTAGCGGCGGTCAAACGGAAACATGGCCCCATCAGTCAATGAAATCTGCAACAGTTAGTTTAAGCCAGCCACGTAGGAAGGTGTAGACTGCTGTCTGGTTGGGGTCCTCGGGACGGTAAAAATCAATGGTTGGAAAGAATTGTTGACATGGCTGAAAATCGTTGTCAATGGCTATCGCAGATGCATCCACTCCTGGTGACTTATGATTTCCAATGAAACTGTTTTGTTCTTCGTTAATACTCTTTCTTTGTCTCACACCTCTGTTTGCTGTCTCTAGTATGCATTTCTTCTACTTTCTTCTGTTGCTTTGTGTGCTACAAGGAGGGAGTGTGGCGACTTGAACTGGCGCACATTAGTGCAAAGTTCTATGTCGAAAACAGACAGACAGTTTGGTCGACGGTGGTTAACAGTGTAATCTGGTAGATGTTCAGAAGGATGACAAAAGCTCCGCAACTAAACTAACCAACTCAGAGAACACTATTAATTGCAAATTTACTTGCATTCCCCAGTGACTGGTGATGTCCCGGATAAGAATGCAACGCAGTACCCATCGTTTCAAACACTAAAGCTTATTATGCACTAGACCATGTGGACCACGAGAGCCACCTCTTGTACCTACGGACATAAGTAATTGTTTGTTTTCAATTCAATTTTTCCGTTGTTTGATTGGACGCAGATGTTGGGCATCTGTTGGCATTAAAATCTGTATTCATGTTTCGGACCTTCGATTGATACATTAATGACTAACTTGAACACCGCTGCGTCGGCGGCACAGCGGTAGAATGTTCTCTAACCACGCATGTGGTCAGGGTCTCGAGCCCCGACCGATGCACTCCTTTACCTCGATAAGCCAATAATAAGACCGATGAGAGAGTAGGTTGAGCATGAGGCTAGCAACCCCATCCCTTAAAAATAAATGCCTCTGCTACTGAAACTTAAAGCCTCTAGCCTGAGGCCCTATGTTCCACTGGGAACGTAAAGGAACAAATTATAAAAAATAAAAATAAAATGGTCAACTTGAATGTGGTACATCGGCGCTCCTTGAACAGATACCTCAATACTACCCTGAATAAGAACTCGAAGTGATTTGCTGTTCTCTGGAAGCCGTGTATGAGGACTCAGATTAAGAATTATCGGGTATTTTTTACCTTATATTGTTATTTTGAATGAAATGTCCAGTGATATATTGCATAATCATGAGACTAGATTTCAACTAAGACATGTTCTTGTTTTTTTAAACTCACTCGGTTTATAATAGTGTTATAATCATGTATGTATATGTTATGTACTGGTCGAGAATTTAATAGTCCTGACGCAAGAAAGACGGAAATCAGAAGACCACTAGGTTTGCGATGATACTTCTATTTTCCAAACACAAGGAGAATCAAAAAATGTCACACAAGTGTGTGAGAACAAAAATATAAGAATGTCCGAACAAGTGTGTGAGCGAATATTCAAATGAACAAATCAATAGACAGTCTTAACATGATTGGCTAATTATAATGGAATATCGATCCATGTATACATAGCAAAATATAACCGACTGTCAAACAAACACACATATTATATGGATACATTTCAGTATATCAGCCAGAGAATGTTATTTTAAAACAATAAATGGATAAAATGCTTTTTTTGGTGATATGATATATCCTACATATGCATAATGTATTTGTTGTCTTTACTTCACAAAGAAAATTGTTTAAAGTAGACTTATTGCATTATGTGATATATGGCTATCTCTGTTACAAATGTAGTGAGTGACTCATGATTTGTTGTTTTTGTTTTGTCTTGTTTCCTCACAAGTAACCTACTTTAACTTAACAAGTAAATTACACATATGAATCTATGTATTTGTCTATTACTTTGTAATGTACTTTTCGTGTGTTTTTGTATTGTTAATTTACAAGACAGGCGTACAAATAGTAATAATGAATGGTAGTTGTTGAGTTGATAATTAAAATTAGCACCCTGAAGATTTTTTGATTATCATCTTTGATAGAATTGGTGAATTTCAACAACAAAAGCAAGCAGTTCAGTGAAGAGACTCTTTTTCGCGAAATGATTATCACTTTTTAATTGGTGAATTGTGTGACTAGCAGTAGAATCCAGGACAACACGCATTTCGTCCCATTTGGGACTCGTCGTCTGGATGTGCCTGCATTCCCCAGTGAGTCAGTGATGATGTTGATTCCCGTCGATTGATTGGACCGAAGTGCTCGGTCTCAGGTCGGCTTCTTGTGAAGATACTTTGACGATGTCTGGGAATTTAATTGGTGAATGCTGACTAGCACTTCGGTCCAGTCAATCGACGGAAAAAGTCTAAAATTCGATTATCACTTTTGTTCATGATGACGACTCCAGCACCTTTATCGAGTTTCGTAATTGTTAGTTAGATTAGGGTTTTCTCGTGGCTCTTACAAGGCTTTGACATACTGGGAAGTTAAAATGCTTTTCTATTTCGGATACTCGTTTGAAAATTGGTGAGCTGTATCCCCAACATCTTGGATGGTTTTAAATAAACCCCAATATCTTCATCGGATGTTGCAACAGAAGGTTTACATGTTTCGTACAAATTTTCGAACTCAGCATAGATGGCTATATCCGTAAATTGCATACTGAGGACACAAAATATAGGTACAAAGGATAAAGCTCCTCTCTGATGAGTGGATAGAGTAACGTAAGAAACCAATATAAAAAATAATTTGTAAAGTTCAACTGATGATACAAACTGCGTAAATCTTTTTCCAGTGAATCCCGTAAATATTTGACAAATCTTATGACATTACTTTATCCACTCATCAGAGAGGGGCCTTATCCTTTGGACCTAAATTTTGTGTTCCCAGTCGTCATTATGAATAAAAGTGACTACAAATCTAAAATGTTGTCTATTCTTGATGATAAGAGCAAATTTAGTCGTGATCCCTCCTCAGAAGATATTCAGTTGTTGCAGGGCACAGTGACAGCTAATCTACTGAAGCTTCATGGCCTAAATGCTATAAGTAAAGATAAACTTGACTCATTAAAACCGTCAGATTGTAAATTCCCACATATGTATGGGTTGCCAAAAATACATAAACCCAATAATCCTCTACGTCCTATATTGTCAATGTGCAAATCCCCAACGCTTAGTGGAATTAAAAAAAAAAAAAAAAAATTGAATCCAGTCAAAACACAATTCTGTAAGTATGTGTTAAAAGATACATTTGAATTGGTTGATGTTCTTGATGATAGTAATATTAATATTATGAACAAGAATATGTACTCTTTTGATGTAAACTCGTTATTCACTAATGTGCCTTTGATCAAAACAGTTGACATTTTGTGTGATTATATTTCCACAAACAATTTTTTCATCCCGTTCCCTATATCTTACTTAAAAGATTTATTACTTCTATGTACTAACAATGTTAGGTTTACATTTGAAGGCGACTGTTTCCGCCAAGTTGATGGTGTTGCTATG